CAGTGTGTAAATAAGTTTATTGTAATATATACATTTCAGATATTCATATGAACACGTTGCATAGAGTTAGTGCAGAAGTTCACAGATGTTAATTACACAGTTTACATGGTTTAAGGCGTCGTATTTAAGAGAAATCATATGTTGTTGTTTTTTTTTTTTTTAATGTTACTGCTGTTTGTAACCAAAACTCGACCGAAATAATACAAAATCTGGACATTATTTTTAAACGTGTTTCGGTCTAAACTGATTCGCTCCTAAATCCATGAACAATAATAATTAGTACGAGTGCAAAGAGAAAGAACGCGGCCTCGTTTCTGTCACAGACAAACACGAGGCCTGAGATGAATATAACCAGTACACATGGCAGTTTATTCAAATAATAATAATAATAATAATAATAATGTCAAATATAATAAAACACGGAGCGTTACGTCGTTCTATAAATACACGAGTTGAGGGGAGATTCCAGTGCAGCGCGTGGCTCAGATCCAGTCTTTAGTCCGAACCGGGCCAGGACTTGTGAGGGCTGCTCGGACTCCGCGGAGCCTTCGGACTTCCCTGGAAAAAAGAACGATGGACAATAAAACACCTTTAAACTCTGTTATTACGGATTTAAAGAGGGGTATTTGACCTCCCTGGGGTATTAAAGAGGGGTATTTGACTTCTGTGGGGTATTAAAGAGGGGTATTTGACTTCTGTGGGGTATTAAAGAGGGGTATTTGACCTCCCTGGGGTATTAAAGAGGGGTATTTGACTTCTGTGGGTATTAAAGAGGGGTATTTGACTTCTGTGGGGTATTAAAGAGGGGTATTTGACCTCCCTGGGGTATTAAAGAGGGGTATTTGACTTCTGTGGGGTATTAAAGAGGGGTATTTGACTTCTGGTGGGGTATTAAAGAGGGGTATTTGACCTCCCTGGGGTATTAAAGAGGGGTATTTGACTTCTGTGGGGTATTAAAGAGGGTATTTGACTTCTGTGGGGTATTAAAGAGGGGTATTTGACCTCCCTGGGGTATTAAAGAGGGGTATTTGACCTCCCTGGGGTATTAAAGAGGGGTATTTGACTTCTGTGGGGTATTAAAGAGGGTATTTGACTTCTGTGGGGTATTAAAGAGGGGTATTTGACTTCGGTGGGGTATTAAAGAGGGGTATTTGACCTCTCTGGGGTATTAAAGAGGGGTATTTGACTTCTGTGGGGTAGTAAAGAGGGGTATTTGACTTCGGTGGGGTATTAAAGAGGGGTATTTGACTTCTGTGGGGTAGTAAAGAGGGGTATTTGACTTCGGTGGGGTATTAAAGAGGGTATTTGACTTCGGTGGGGTATTAAAGAGGGGTATTTGACTTCCCTGGGGTATTAAGAGGGGTATTTGACTTCGTGGGTATTAAAGAGGGGGTATTTGACTTCTGTGGGGTATTAAAGAGGGGTATTTGACTTCGGTGGGGTATTAAAGCGGGGTATTAAAGCGGGGTATTTGATTTCGGTGGGGTATTAAAGCGGGGTATTAAAGCGGGGTATTTGACTTCTGTGGGGTATTAAAGAGGGGTATTTGACTTCGGTGGGGTATTAAAGAGGGGTATTTGACTTCTGTGGGGTATTAAAGAGGGGTATTTGACTTCTGTGGGGTATTAAAGAGGGGTATTTGACTTCTGTGGGGTATTAAAGAGGGGTATTTGACTTCGGGGGTATTTAAAGAGGGGTATTTGACTTCGGTGGGGTATTATTAAAGAGGGGTATTTGACTTCTGTGGGGTAGTAAAGCGGGGTATTTGACTTCGGTGGGGTATTAAAGAGGGGTATTTGACTTCGGTGGGGTATTAAAGAGGGGTATTGACTTCGTGGGGTATTAAAGAGGGTATTTGACTTCGGGGGGTATTAAAGAGGGTATTTGACTTCTGTGGGGTATTAAAGAGGGGTATTTGACTTCGGTGGGGTATTAAAGAGGGGTATTTGACTTCGGTGGGGTATTAAAGAGGGTATTTGACTTCGGTGGGGTATTAAAGAGGGGTATTTGACTTCGGTGGGGTATTAACTGCTCACACATCACATATTTAGATCTATGTTCCTTTTATAGTTTGGAAAATGTTATATTTGCTAAAAACAAAGCATTCAGTTTATATTGGTTTGTGCCGTATTTTTCGGACTATAAGTCGGAGTATAAATCACACCAGCCAAACGATGCGTAATGAAGAAGAAAAAAAACATATTTAATTAACACTGAACTACAAAGTCGCACTTTTTGGGGAAATGTATTTGAAATTGATCTGAATCGGTGTCTGGTAACTTAACACATTACACTGGACAAAAACAATATCTAGGCAAGTTAAAATGAGTTAAAATTAAGAAAATTGTATTTTACTTGTGTAGATTCAACTTGACCAGTAAAATGAAATAAGTGTGTTTTTTCTTCAAATAACAAACATGTGAAATTATATATTTTAATATAGAAGTCGCACCTGAGTCACAGGAAGCTCAAACCAGAAAAAAAGTGCAACTTGTAGTCT